CGTTCCAGGATCTCTGGGTCTGCCGGGGAGCCGCAGTGCAGAGCGGGCCCTCGAGGAGGCTGTGGCTACCGGGACCCTGAACCTGTCCAACCGGCGCTTGAAGCACTTCCCCCGGGGTGCGGCCCGCAGCTACGACCTGTCAGACATCACCCAGGCTGGTGAGTGCACCCGGCCGAGCGCCCCGCCGGGACCCTCATTTGCATTGCCCCGCCCCCCTGCTCGCTGCTCCGAGGCCGAGGAGGCTGGCACTCCCCTCGCCCGTCCGTGTTCTCGACCCGCCGATGGGCATGAATCTGCGATCGCCCCCTCCCCGCCTTAAGAACCACCAGGCGATGCGCGCGTTTCTCGTTTTCTTGGAAAGCCCAGCGTTCCTGGCCGAATGTTGTGATCCCCTTTCCACCCCACCCCCTCCGCTTCTCTTTATTTGCATATTGGCGCACCTGTAGAATGGTCCCTCCTCTTACCTGGTTGGCTTATTGGCCTGCTTTTCTTTTCTTTTTTTTCCAACTTCAGTTCTGATCGTTCCATAAAGGAGCCCCCATGAACCCCTCTAGTGACTCCTTTCTCTTCCTCCACATCATCTGCAACTCCGTCCCCGTTCCGCCGAGATCCGAGCAGACTTAGGACCTCCTTCCCATGGATTTATTTGTCCCTAACGACGCAATGTTTCTGCTTGCTTTCTCGCAGTCCCGCCCTCTAAGGTCCCAGGCCCTCTCCACTCTTCATCCAGCCCGCCTGTGGGAAAGAAGCAAATCTTTCATCTCCCCTCTGCACCTCAATTCTTCCTCCTTATTCCTGACCCCCTTATCTGAGTCCTTCTCCTTCCTGCGTGTGTGAGGTCACTATGGAGCCCGTGACCTCACAGGGACTCTAGAATTCCCATTTCTGTTTCTGCTTTCCCCAGGGGGAGAGACTTGAGGCAATTGCTAAAAGGAAGGAAATCTTATCTCCTTGCAAGGAGTGCTGGAAACCTAGAGACTGTCTGACTATCCTTCCACTCCCCATCGCAGGATCCCTCTAATCATGCTTCCTCCACCCTGGTGTCTGTTGATGGTGGGGTTTGGGGGACTCCACTGTGACAGGTGAGTCAGGCCTCAGCTGCTCTGGAGACGACCTCGGGCTGGCAGGTGTGTGTGAGCTGGCAGCTGTGTGTGTGTGTGTGTGTGTGTGTGTGTGTGTGTGTGTGTTGGAACGAGGGAGGAGGACTGCATTCCCGAAGCCACACCCCAGCCTTGCCCAGGGTGGGACTTGGGACTGGATGAGAGTGTCCTCCTGTTGACACTGCCCCTGGACTGCATTTCTCCCCTAGCAGGTGCCTGCTCACCTGCAAGCACTCCAGTGGGCACAGACATACTCTCTTTCCCACTGTCCCGGGGAGAACCAGTTTAAACCTTTCCACCTTTCTTGGGTTGCTGGGTACACTAACTTGCCCACTTTGCAGGGAGTGAGTTCAGGGAATGGTGAGCCCCAGGAGCCGTCCTCTCTGTCTCCCCGAGTCTCCTAACCCCCAAGCTCCAGATTGACCTCAGCAGCTGTGCGACACTCAATGTCTGTTCTCTTTCCCCTCCCCCTTGCTTATTTTTTGACAAAGACCAAATGTTATTCTTTACTTCCTTAGGGCTCTGTCTCAGTGAGTGGACTCCTGGGGAAAACTACCAAGAACTCCCTGATCCTCCTAGCTCTCCCCCCTCCCAGGCTCCTCCCCCGGCATTCTGGCTCAGGGTGCAGCCAGTTCCCTTGTGAGTGAGCTTGTGTGGTGAAGCGGGGAAATCTCAGCTTCCCGAGAACCCCTCTCTGCCTGCTCTCCAGGCAGGAATTCTCAGAACTTTCAGGGCCTAGAGTCTAGGCCAGGTAGGGTCTATCTTGTTCAGAACTCTCTTTTCTGTCCCCTCTTCTCAAGCAGGGTGCCTGTAGCTTGGGGTGGAAAGGGGAAGTGACAAAAACATAGTATTGCCTATACCCTGCCCTCCACACCTCCTTGCCCTCCAACCCAGGCTAAAAGCTTCACCACTCATGCCGGAGTAAGTTTGAACTCCTCCTTTCCCAGCTCTTTCTGAAACAGTATTTTCCATGCATGTTACCTATGGCATAGGCCCCTGAGATCCCCTGAACTTCATTCCTGGTGCCTGATAGCAAGATGACTCCTGAGATGGGAGGAGGGGCCACTTTCACAAAGGAGAAGTGCAGCTCATTCTCTCACAGACCACATCCTGTGCCTTCTGTGCCCTCCCTCCTCCTGCCTGGGCTCCCTTCCGCTCCTAGCGCTTGGCCCTGCCACCTGCCTGCCCCATAATCAATTGTTCTCTCCCTTCATCCATACGTGTGTGCACACACATTTGGTGGATGCAGAGAAAGCAGGCAGGTGGAGGGTGAGAGTGGGAGGACAGCGTTTGGTCCTCCCACCCTATCTGGAACTGTCCTTTCCTGTGACAGGTCTGTGTGCACCGAGGTTGGGAGCAGAGAGAGAGAGAAAAATTCCTGGGGAATTAGGCTGTCGTCCGCTCAGGCAAACACAAGGCCCACCAGAGACAGAACCGGACAGATTCATTTCCTGTCACAAGACCCATTTCCTTGGGGGCTATATCCCAGATTCTCCTCCCCTCAGCTTTTGCTCACTCTTCCCTGGGGAAGGCCATTTAAGAAGTTCACCCAAGTATTGCTGCTCAGGACTTCCCCCAGCAGGCCCTGGGCCCCTCCCAGTACAGGCCAGCAGAAGAAACATAAACCCAGGCATAGAGGTTTAAGCAGTGAGTGTCTCCATATTGATGGGAACCCAAAATGCCTGATTCCTTGCATTGCACTGGCAGGCCACCACTTGAGTTAAAGTGGCAGTAAAAGACTCTGCCCTCCTTCCCATCCTCTCCACTAGTCGCTGTGTTCAAGACACAGGCAAAGGGGGTGGTTGCATGAAGTCTGGGCAATAAGAGAGGAAGCAGAAGAAGGCTGGCAGGGCTATCAGAGGGTGGGAATGAGTGAGCCCCGAAGAACGTGCGTCTGGACGGAAGGGACCAGAGGACTCCAGCTCCCACCGCCAGCTTGGCTGATTGCCCTTCCTGGTCCTCGGGAGTCTGTGGCTTCATAGATCCTTGGGCCTGGTTTGCTGCTCCCAGGGGCTGGTGAGAAACCGTTGTCCAGAGTTGGGAGCCTTCATTCTAGAGCCAGGCTGTAATGACCCTTGGTTTTTCCCCGGACTGAACACAAGTTGAGGTTGGGAGTTAGGACCCCTGATGAAGGATGGGCTTTCTCAGTGGTCTCTCCCAGAGATTGTCCATATTCGTATCTTGAGCCTCCCAGTTCATCACACTGATATTTTCTTTGGAGTACTAGCACTCCGCTGTGATCTTTGCCTTCCACCTCTCCTGGCATCACAGAGCAACAGGAAACCACAAGAGTTATAGAATCCAGCCACCATTCCAGTATAACCCTTCATTGTTTGTTTGAAAACAGCATCCATGGCTTGTCCCCACACCCCTAGTCTGAGTTTCTCTGGTCCAGTGACCCTAAGGCCTTTGCCTTCCCTTTGCCATTCTGGCTGTTCTTGGAATGTGCTCCAGTTTGCAGAAGGCTTTGTTCTCTCTCCAGGTAGCCCAGGTTTATAGGCCCGATTCTTCAGGTCTTTTGGGAAGGTAGAGGGCCGGGCATCTGGCTCTGGAGAAGTTCAAGGTCCCCCTGTCCAGGCTGGGCCTCTCCACAGCTCTCCAACACTTGTTTCCCCTAGACCTGTCCCGGAACCGGTTCCCCGAGGTGCCAGAGGCAGCGTGCCAGCTGGTGTCCCTGGAGGGCCTGAGCCTCTACCACAATTGCCTGAGATGCCTGAACCCAGCTTTGGGGAATCTCACAGCCCTCACCTACCTCAACCTCAGGTAAGGAGGCAGCGCCAGGGGCGGGTGCAGCTTATCCTTCTCAGCCCCAAGCACCAGTGTACAGTACCCTGGGTGACCCTCCTGGTGACCTTTAGAGGAGGGCCACACTGGGATGCTCTGCCTGGGGAGTGAACCCACTGCCTTTCTTCCTTCCACAGCCGAAACCAGCTGTCATCGCTGCCGTCCTACATCTGCCAGCTGCCCCTGCGGGTCCTCATTGTCAGCAACAACAAACTGGGAGCCCTGCCTCCCGACATCAGCACCTTGGGAAGCCTTCGGCAGCTTGTGAGAATGGGGAGCAGGGCGAGAAGAGGGACTGTAGAGCCAGGCACCAGGGACCTTTTTGGGGGGGAGAAGTTAAGGAAAGGCAGGATGTGCCCTAGGGGTGAGGCCCAGACTAAAGGAGGTGACCAGAGACAGGAGACAGCTCCTGGTCTTGTGGCTTCTTCCTAGTTTTTTCCTCATTCCAGGATGTGAGCAGCAATGAGTTGCAGTCCCTCCCCACAGAGCTGTGCAGCCTCCCTTCCTTGCGGGATCTCAATGTTCGGAGGAACCAGCTCAGCACCCTGCCTGATGGTAAGGAAATGAAGAATTGGAGGGGGTGGGGGGCGGCAGAGAAAGAGAGAGACAGACAGAAGTTAGAGAAAAGTTAGAGAAAGGGAATCTTCCACAGAAAAATAATGCTTAGTTGACCAGGGTTTTGCATTGTATTAAACAAACTAGATTATTTTATTTGTTCTTGACCAGCATCCCTCTGAAGCTGGCAAGACATGGATTATTTGCTCTGTTTTACAAATGTGGGAAAAGATGCAGCAAGGGGAGTAGGTGAGTGCATTGGTACCCTGTAGAACAGAGGTCCTCAAACTTTTTAAACACGGGGCCAGTTCACTGTCCCTCAGACATTCCACACATGCGCACTGAGGGCCCGGGATGAGTTGGCTGCTAAGCAGGACAGGCAGTGGCGGCAAAAACACTGGGCGGGCCGGATAAATGTTTTTGGCGGGCCACATGTGGCCCGCGGCCGCCGGCCGTAGTTTGAGGACCCCTGCTGTAGAATCTCAAGGTCAGAAGGGCCTTTAAGGTTATCCTGTGTCACCACTCACCCCAGTGGGAGTTCTCAAACACCTGAGTCAGATGATGCCCTGCACCTCCTCCCCAGAGAGTCTGAATCAGTGGGGCCACATGCTGGGGCCCAAGCAGCTCCATTTTAATGAGCTAATTGTGATGCACCCCACATTTGATAGCTTCTGCTCCAAAGCAGCCACACCTTCTTTTATTCAGCCAGCATTGTTTTGTATACGTGTTCCCTGTGCTTTACGTGGGGACCAGATAAATGTGAGTGATGTCACTAAATCTGGGGCCATTTCTTAAAATGTAATGGCTTAATTAAATCCTAATTTAATGGGAGAGAAGCAGGAGGAAATTCTAGAACATGATACTTAGAGAGCTACAGGAGCTACACAGGGAGGCACTGGCTCTACTAGGGAACTTGAGGAAGGTTTTGCTCCAGAGGTGCAGTAGGAATTGACCATTGAAGGAGAGTTCTCCACCCTCTGCAGTCTCAGCAGAGGGAACCCCATGTGCAAAGCATGTGGGTGGGAGTAAACCTGGCCCAGCATGGATGCGGTTAGAAAGTGCTCGGCAGAAAGGACCTGTGCCATGCTGACCTTGGTTTTGAAGAACAAAAGACAGGAGTCAAGTGGTCATCCATTTCCTCTGGGCTACCCCTCACTGCTATGCTGGCCCTCTTCTAAGTCAGTAGGGGTTCAAATAAGCTCTATCTGGGCCATAAAAGAGACCCCAGCAAAATGTCCTGGGGCACAGAGGAAGGAGCAATGGATTCCAAACTAATGTTGGAAAGATTGCATGGAGAAGGTGATGAGCTGAACCCTGAAAGATGTGTGGACAGAACAGTGGCATTCTCCTAGTTGAGCAAGACAGCATGTGGAAAGGCCCAGAAGTCAAGGGGCTGGAGGGTTATCTGGTGCGGTATGAGGATGGGCAGTGAGATGGGAAACATGGGCTGAGCCAGATCAGACAAAGGTACCCCTATCTGAGGGCAAGCACAGTCTCACCAGGGGGCAGGGCTTGGCTAGTGAAGTGCAGGTGGGATTGCAGCCCCTTCTGCCCGGATACCTTTGTGTGGGGCACAGTTCACTTACCCTCAACAAGCCCAGCTGAAAGTCATGGAAAGTTTTTGAGCAACACGGTATCAACGTTGGTCTGATTTGGGGCTTGTGATGGTCACTTGAGAAAGAAGGAGTGGTTGGAGTGGGGAGTGGGCAGGGAGGGGAAATGGAGGAAGCACCTGGGATGGGCCTGAGCTGTAGTTGATGGGGGAGGGAGGCATGAAGGTGGGCCATATTTGAGCAGGAAGAGGAACAGGGAGACTGTTCTTAGATAGTGCCCTCAGCCAGCCAGGCCACAGCAGAGAGTAGAGGAAGTGAGCCCTTGGGCCTACTCCTGACTCTATCTTCACCCACCCTCAGAGCTGGGGGACCTTCCTCTTGTCCGCCTGGATTTTTCCTGTAACCGCATCTCCCGCATCCCGGTCTCCTTCTGCCGCCTCAGGCACCTGCAGGTCATTCTTCTGGACAGCAACCCCTTGCAAAGCCCGCCTGCCCAGGTAAGAGATGGGCCTGGGGCGGACATTGGAGACAGGGTTGAGATTGGGCGGGAGTGTGGGTGGGTCCCTTTGGTAGCCAAGTAGGAACTGGAATGCCCCCTGCTTTTCCCTAACTCCTTTCGTGCTCATCTTCACACTCAGATCTGCCTGAAGGGGAAACTTCACATCTTCAAGTACTTGTCAACAGAGGCTGGGCGGCGTGGAGGCGCTACACTGGGGGACCTGGCCCCTTCCCGCCCCCCGAGTTTTAGCCCCTGGTAAATAAGGGTGGGGAAGGAAGCCTGGATCCCTAATATCCCTTCCTGGCACCAGTGTCCCCATGGTTTCCAGAGGGAGGATGGGCAGGGGGTTGCTGCCCAGTATAGGACTGACCAGCTCTTCCTGGCTGGCCCCAGCCCAGCTGAGGACTTATTTCCGGGACGTCGGTACGATGGCGGGCTGGACTCAGGCTTCCACAGTGTTGACAGTGGCAGCAAGAGGTGGTCTGGAAATGAGGTAAGTGCCTCCTTTCCAAGGGACATTGGTGATCTCAGTCCTGGAGGAGAACCTCTGAGCCAGGACCCTTTGCCTTTTACCTCTAAATCTCAGAGTGACAGATGGCGGCTGGAGCTGTCTTCTTCCTTCCCTTGCCCAAGTATCCTGGGGAATGGCTGGCTTAGCAGCGGACCCCAAGGCCCTGAACCCATGAGTCCCCAGCTGTCTTTCATCTCTGCATTTCTGTATTTACAGTCAACTGATGACTTTTCGGAGTTGTCGTTCCGGATATCGGAGCTGGCCCGGGAGCCTCGGGGGCCCAGGGAGCGGAAGGAGGATGGCTGTGGTGAGTGGTGGTGTCGGGGGCCCTGGGACTGAGGGGAATGGACAAGCCTGCAGGCCCCCATCTGCTTGCTGACGTGTCCTGCCTCTCCAGCTGATGGAGACCCTGAGCAGATTGACTTCATCGACAGCCACGTGCCTGGGGAGGATGAAGAGCGAGGTGCTGCCAAGGTGAGGGGCAACACTCCATCCATGCTTTTGTTCCGGCCCTCCGGTCCAGTTTAAGAACCCATTGTGGCTCTCAAGTCAAAAAGTTTGCCCACCCCTGGGCTAGCCCTTGTCCACTGTCCATCTGCTGTGAGAGGAGAGCTGGAGGGGGGCCAGTGCAGGCTTGGAGATCAGGTCTCCCTCAGTTCCTCCTTCTGTTCTTTCTTCAGGAGCAGCAGCCACCAGAATTAAGCCCTGTAGCAGGGGAAAAGGAGAGGGCACCAAGCAGCAGGTACCAGAGCCACGTGAGCTGGCACCTCCTTTCTTTGCTCAGTCTCCTTGCACCATCTCTCTTACCTGACCTCCTCTACCCCTCATCCTGCCTTTGCCCCTTCAGGCGGGAGGAACTGCCTGGAGAGGAACGGCGCCGCCCAGACACTTTGCAGCTGTGGCAGGAGCGTGAGCGGAGGCAGCAGCAGCAGCAACAACAGAGTGGAGCATGTGCGGCCCTCAGGAAGGACAGGTGTGGGCACAGGAGCTACTGGCAGGTGGTGGGCCCTGGAAATGAGCGGAAACGAGCCCTCCTGAGCTACTCTGCCCCTCAGGGTTGGCAGCCCCCTGCCTAACACTGCTGACCCACATCTCTTCCTTCACTTTCTAGTTTTCTGAAGCTGGGGGTCAGGGCTCCTGGTGGAGGTGCTACAGCCTTGTCTACTCAGGCCACTTACAAGTATGTGTCCTCCCAGACTGCACCTCCCTGAGCCCTCTCCTTGCACTCCTTCCCCCTGACCATCCCTTCTAATTCCCATTCTGTCTCCTCAGCGGCATGCCCAAGTCCAGTGCCACCCAACCGGGAGCTTCAGGGGGACAGGGAGCTCCTGTCTCAGCCCCCACCTCTCAGGAGTCCCTTCCTATAGGTGGACCAGGTGTGACAGGGGCTTGGGGAAGAGGGTGGGGGCTTGTGTGTGTGAGGGGTAGCCTGAGGGAAGAGTGGGACACCGAGGGGATGTCTCTCACCTGCCCCTGTCCCCTGCCTCTGTTCCCCAGTGACAGCACCTGCTCCTCGGCCGCTCGGCTCCATCCAGAGACCAAATAGCTTCCTCTTCCGTTCTTCCTCTCAGAGTGGCTCAGGTGGGTCTCCCCTCCCCAGTCCTAACCCAGTGCTAATGCAGCACTAACCCCCAGGCTGCAGTCACCCGCTGGTCTGGGAGTTCTCTGGTCAATTGTCTCTTTGTGTTGAAAATCCCACCAACACAGAGACAGGAGCTGTGTGTGCCAGACACTGTAATCCAGCTACAAAGTTACAGTGGTAGTGGAGACAGCCCCACACCCTCCTTTTCTCCAGGTCCTTCCTCACCAGACTCTGTCTTGAGACCTCGGCGATCCCCCCAGCTTCTGGACGAGAAGGAGCTGATGGCTCAGTTGCGCCAGGTAAGAGAGGTGGGATCTGCATGAGTGGGGCCTGGGCTCAGCATGGCACCTCCTGGTTTCCTGGCCTCCCTCAATGTCCTCTTTGTCCACCTTGGTGCTTTGGCTGAGGACAGGAGATGCAGGCTGGAGCTCCCTGCTGACTCTGACGTTCTCATCCCCCCCTCCTCCTCCTTTCCCTGCCTTTCAGGTCCTTGAGTCGCGGCTGCAGCGGCCCCTACCTGAGGACCTGGCGGAAGCTCTGGCCAACGGCGTCATCCTCTGTCAGCTGGCCAACCAGCTGAGGCCCCGCTCTGTGCCCTTCATTCATGTGCCGTCACCTGCTGTGGTTAGTTGGGGCCCAGGGTGGGAAGTAGGGAAGGGGACAGGGGACTCCTGTGGCCCCTCCCTTAATCTCTTATCTTTTTTCCTTTCTCACACATCTCCAGCCAAAACTCAGTACCCTCAAGTCTCGGAAGAATGTGGAGAGTTTCTTAGAAGCCTGTCGAAAAATGGGGGTGCCTGAGGTATGGAGGGTTGATCTCAGAATCCTGGGGCTGGTCTACTATAAAGAGTGGTGGCATTCTGGGCTTAGTTGAACCCTTTGCATGGATGACAGGGCTCCGTTCACAGGGAGCATGTGGTCCCCAGAAGGAAGTCCCTGTCCTGCATGTCTCCCTTCCCTGCATGCCTCTTCCCTGCACTCTGCATGTTGGCACGGCTCTGGCCCTGGCATGTGAGGGCAGGGGGTGGAAAGAATTGTCTTGCTGCTGCTGATGATGTCTGCCCTTTGTCCTTGTCCATCTGTCCTACTCTCCCTTCCCAGGCTGACCTGTGCTCGCCCTCGGATCTCCTCCAGGGCACCGCCCAGGGGCTGTGGACCACCCTGGAGGCCGTGAAGCGGGTGGGGGGCAGGGCCCCCCCACCACTCTGGCCTCCCTCTGGTCTGGGCGGCTTCATCCTCTTCTACGTGGTCCTCATGCTGCTGCTCTATGTCGTCTACACTCAACTCCTGGGTTCCTAGGACCTGAAGTCACCCCTCCCCTCACCACCTTGCCCTATTTCTATTTATAAGACTCCTGTGCAACCCCCATGCCCACCAGTGGTGCCTTCAGCCCCTACCAAAGACACTAGTGAACCCTCCTCCCTTCACAAACACTGACCTCAGAGGCCCCCCTCTGGTACCCCCAGATCCTGGGCACCCAGCCTCTGGCCCCTCCCATCTCAGTGCTGATGGTGCCTTCATGCCTTCTCCCACCCAGCCCTGCCCTCTGCTCCCCCAGAGGGGGTGGATCTTAACCTTCCCACTTTCACTCTCTCTCCACCCCCTACTCCCCACCCCCAATATTGGGGGCTAAATTATCTATATTTTGTAGAGAGAACTCTATATTTGTAGGAGATGCAAGGCCCAGTCTGGGTCCCCATCTCATGTATAAATTGTACAGACTGTGGCTGCCTGTGTGTGTGTGTGTTTGCGTCTGCTCCTACTGTGGCCAGGCCCAGTCCTGGCAGTACCCATTGGGCTCTATGTGCCAGCCTGTCTACTCCAGCATTTTCCTCTGGAAATGACAGGTCTTTCCTCCCCTATGAGCCGTGGCCCCTGTGTCATCTCCCTTCTGATATCTGCTGGCAGCTTCTTTGCATCTCATTTGTCCCAAACCATGTCCAGGGTGCCCCTGACCTCACCTACATTTTTAAGGGCCATCCTGTCAGCTTCCTTTGACCAGGTTCCTTTAGGGTGTCTCCCCCCTGCCCTCTGCCAAGGGCTGGGAAGCCCAGAGGAAAAGATACACGGGGATTTCATCTGGGCCCCTCCCCCCAGGAGTCCCTGTGCCAGCCCCACCACATCCTGGAAGAGGAGGGGGCCCCAGGAAGGGGCCTCCCCTACATCGCTGCTGTCGTCCACGCACTGCTGGAGCAGTCTTAGGGTTTGAGGTAGGGGCACAGGGCCACCACCGGCCTGGGATCCCGGAAGAGAAGACAGCCACGCCTGGGCCCTGCTCTAGCGAGGACTGGGGAGGGCGCCTCGCCGGCCCTGTTCCTCGGGCACCCTGTTGGGTTGGAAGCCGGCCTGCCCGGCCGGGCGCCTGGATTCCTCTGAGTGTGACTGAGGGTCTGGGATGGAAGATGGGGCATCGGATGTTGTGTCAAGTGCAATAAAGAAGCTGGAAGGTCTCTAAGTTGCCGCTAGTCTCTGTGTCTCGGCGAAGGAAAGTGGTGAAAGCAATGCATTGTGGGAAAGGGGGTCTAAAGCGGCCTGTGCTCAGCGCTGCCCTGGGAAGCAGGCCGGGCTGCGCAACCCCCGCCCCCGCCAACAGGGGTCGCCCCGGGACCCAGCGGGAGCGCGTGCCACGTGGCCGGAAACGCACTGCGTGTTGGCGTCGCTGCGAGGCCGGGTGAGGTGGGTGCGGTGGGCGAGGTGGGCGGGCAGCCTGGACTTCACCGGGACAGACAGGGTGGTGCCCACCACGGAGGGAGGCTGAGACCGAGTGGGCGCCACGGAGGGCGAGGCAGACGGGGTGGGAGGCCGGGCAGCGAGGGGCCGGGCACAGAGGTGCGGCCCTGCCCTTCCCTCCCCCAGACGCGGCATGCTGCCCTGGCCCCTTCCACGGTGGGACGCCAGCGAGGAGCAGGCGCCGGAGGAACAGGGCCCCTCACCGTTCGGTGACCCTGGCAAGGTTCGGAACTCTGGAGGGAAAGCCCTGGGGGAGCCAGGTGCCCCCCCACAGGACAGGTGAGGGGCGCGGCACGTGGGAGGCGCTTGCGGGAAGTCTGCGTGGGCTGAAGGGTCCCGCGGGTGCAGACTCTCATGGTCCGTGCGAACAGTGGTTATGTTCGGCCTCCCGCACCGGGCACCTTTGACCTGGCCGTGGGAGTGTTCAGACTCGGAGGGGAAGGCGGGAAGCTCTGACTGGGGCGTCTCAGGGCCTTTCCACCTCCAGCCCCCAGTTCCGGGCCCCAAGGCCTTCCTGGACCCGGAGAGGACAGTGGCAGGCCCCGCCCCGTGCAGGCCTGGTAGCCCAGCAGCACCCGGGACCCCCAGGTAAGTGCTGGGCCTTGCCCCGTCTACTCCTCAGTACCCTTTTACCCACTCCTGAGCCTGTTTTAATCTCAAGTCACCCCCCCCCCAGTTCCCCTTTTTCCCCAGATGGCCTGGGGGGTGGCCCCTTCGAGAATGACCCTGCTGGCACCATGGGACCCCAACTATGAGGCTAAAGCTGGTTCTCAGCCGGTGTGGGTGAGTAGGGGGTGCCTATGGCTCTGGTCTCTGGGTGGGGCAAGGATACTCCAGTGATCTTTCCTGACCCTCCACAGGGACCCAGCTGTGCTTCCGGTGCCTCTTTCTCAAGCCGGACTTTGTGTCATCCTTCCTTCTGGCCGCTGTACGAGGCAGCCTCAGGTAGGGACCGCAGACCCCTGACTTCTGCAACAGTACATCGGAATGGCGAGCAGGCACCCAGGGATGCAGGTAACTTCCCTTGGTCCCCTCAGACTCAGGACTAATGCTTTGTGAGCTCTGTAGGGAACCCGTGCCGAGGTCCCTGGGATGGGAAACCCAGCCTGTCACCCCAACAGCTTTTCTCCCTAGGATTCCCGGTGATGTGCTGTGAAGATGTCTTTCTTTCAGACCCTCTCCTGCCCCCTGGGCAGCGTGTTCCCTTGTACCTGCCTGAAGCCCCTCAGCAGGTGGGTACTTTCCTGCCCTGGCCTTTTCTCAGCCTCCCTGCAGGGCTTGGGAGGAGACACTTCCCTCTCTTCTCTCCTCAGGTGATGGGCTCTCTGAAGCTGCTGCTCCCGCCCCCTATCATGTCCCCCCGGGTGTGCCCCACCCGGTCCCCTGGCTGCTGCACCACCTGGCTCAGTGGGCCTGAGCTGATCGCCCTCACTGGCCTCCTGCAGATGAGCCAGGGGGAGCCAAGACCTAGCTCCATGGGTTCCTCGGCAGCTCCCACCCCCCCTTCTGATCCCCTAGACCCTGTTTCTGATCACGCAGGCCCCAGTGGTTCTCACTGCACTGACCCATCTCTCCGACAGACCCCAGAAACCAATTGTCCATAGCACCTCTGGGGGCATCATGGGTCCTCTACTCTCTCGGGCGGTTCTGTTGACAATAAATGTGTTCGTTTGCAAACAGGCTCCTTGTGGTAAGTAGCAGAATGGGGCATTCAGGCAGGGATAGGGGTCTTTTCCTCCATGGCAGCTTTGGCTGTCCTCCCCTAAAAGTCTTGTTACTCATTGGCCACCCCCTACAGTGGGGTGAGGGAATACATGGGCCTAAGACCTTTTCAGGCTGACCAAGAAAGGCACCTTTAATGAGGGGCCGCACAGCACAGTTCCCCAGACTGAGTATATAAGAAACAAGGATTCCATCAGCTCTGCCAGGCCCAGGAAAGGGAGGATTGTGTAAGCATGTGGCTGACATTGGAAGAGGCAATTTAGGGAGTAAGGGGGTGGCACATCACTTTTGGGGGACACCAAAGGAAAGATACCTGGTGCTTTTCATCCTTCTTGCGCTGAGGTCCCAGAAGTTTATCCTTAGAGCTGAGGGTTAGTTCTTTGGTTTGTTGGAGACACAGGCAGGCACTGTAGGTGTGTGTCGGGGGGACAGGGAAAGGTACTCGTGGGAGTCCTCATCAGAGGAAGGGTGGCAGCCACGGTTCCCCCAAGACTCTGAACTGATGCTGCATAACTTCGCAGGGAAACAGGATCAGAGCTTTGGCTGAGAAAGCCCAGAAATTTGTAGGATTTTTTTTGGAGGGAGGATGGTGATCTAGAATTTTCCCCCTTAAAAGAATCCAACTTCTTGGGGAACTTCCTCCTGAAGACTTCCCACTGCTGGAAGGGGCAGAGAGGGCAGGGGGCCCGAGGGGCAGCTCAGCGCCTCTGTAGGTCACCCGTCCTAGGGGGTGTCTGTGCCTTAGAACCCCTCAGTTGTGGGAAACACATTCTAACTTTGCCATTTTCTCTCCCTCATCTCACTTTCCATCTGTCAGATAGACCTGGCAGACGCTCACCCTTGCCTCCAGAGTTGGTTCTGGGACTTGATTTGGGGTAGCTGTGGGGGCAGTGTGTGATAGTCTTGGGGGCATTGCCTCATGTTTCCAGAGGGATCAGGTCCAGGTCAACTAGCTGAGGTGACTGGCTGAGGGGGTCCCGCATGGCAGTGTCCATTTCTAAGTAGTCTGGGGCCATGTACTCAGTGCACACATACTCCTGGGCTAGTTGGACTGGGCTGATACCCTCCAGCTCTCCAGCTCTCCCCAATGCTGGGATGGGGGCCTTGGAGCCTGTGCCCTGGCTCCCTGGCCCTGGCTTGTAGGAAAAGGGGCAGGGAGCTTGGGGAAGAGGACCTGGTGGAAAATAGCTCATGGGCACTTAGTGCCCTCCCAATCCTAGAGCAACTGGTGGAGAGCAGCGTTGGCAGCAGAAGGAAGGTGAGGGGGGAGGTGCTATCATAAAGTAGCCACCCCCACCCCTCATAGGCTCCCATTGACTCATAGTCACTCCCAGCTCCCTTGGGTATGTGGCTCCCTCCCCTATCTAACCCTCCGGGTATGGGGTATGAGGCTGATGCCCCCAGCATCCCAGGGTCTGGAGGGTGGCTTGCTTGCTCCTCTCACCCAGGCACCTGCTACAGCTCAGGCCCCTTGATTGGGCCCAGGTGACTCAGATCTCATGAGGGTGGGGGCAGAGGTCTGGAGGCGCTCATCAGAGGATCCCTTGGCAGTGGCTTAGTCCTACCACTGGCACCAGCGTCCCTAAGTCGCTTCATGGCGGCCAGGACAGTCTCATGAATGCTTCAGGCACCATGACATCTATTGTTTGTAGCCACAGCACCCACGTGGCTGAGTTTCAGGAAGGAGGCGTCTGCATGGCCACAGCAGCACACACTGAGCAGGGACAGGAGCAGGAACCCCAGGTAACAATGCCAGGGTGTCCTTGGAACCTCTGCCCTTGGGCTTCTGCAGCAGGCTCAGTACCCCTAAACCCAGGCACAGGTAGGTGGTAGACACTGGCCTAGGCCTCGTGTCCACCTCAGCCCCTTGGGCCACAGTGTCACTGGCCAGACATCCTGAAATGAAGTGAGGATTCATGTCCTGGGATCCTCATGGGAACTGGAACCTTGGAAGGACAATTGGATGATCGCGGGGTGGGGGGTGGGGTGGGGGGGGTGGAGTGTGTTGGAGTCACTGTGCTCAGAGAACTGATAAAGTGTAAACGCTTAATATTTGAAATTGATTTCGGTGACCTAGAGCAGGGAGAGGCTAGGGATAGACCAAATCCACGACTATCCGACCCTGGCCCCCATATTCTCTCCGCCCACCCCGAACTTGGGCCTCACTGCGGTGGCTGCAGGCACCTCGAGGAAGGTGCCCTATCACACCTGCTGCTCCGCCGCGCTCTCCCCACCACGCCCAGGCTGCGGTCACATGTGCGGAGGATAATCAGGCGGCCCTGGTGCACGCACCCGCCAGGCTCACGCTGATTTTGGGCGGTGCTCCACCGGCAAACGTCTCGTTTCGGTAACACTGGAGTCTTGGCGGCTCTGCCCGGGGCAGGAGACACAGCGGTGCTGGGACTTCTGCTTCCGCGTCAGGCTGCGACGCCGCGGTGGACTCAGATGCTCAGATGCACGGCGAGCGACTTGGACTCTGTCCCCGTGGGGTGGCCGCCTCCGAGATTCCTTACGGCCACAGGCAGTAAAGTGGCCGGCGGAGGGGGTGAGACGGCCGAGGAAAGGCCATAGTGGGTAGAGGTGGCTGCTACGTCTTGATGCCCAGTGTCTCTCTCCAGCTCCCAACTTAAAGCTTATGGCCGGGTTCCTGCCCAATGACTAGGACACCCTGGTCTCGGGAGAGGACTCAGATGAGGCTCCCCGCGCCACCTCTCCTCCCCCCCTCTCCACCAACAGCTCATCACTCCCCACCCCGGGAGCTGGACGCCAGCCCAGTGGTGGAAGTGGAGTTCCAGTCGGGACAATCTCCACCCCACCCGCTCGGACTGGGCTCTGGCAGGCGTCCGGAGCGTGGGGGCATCTCCATGGATTCGCGCTGGCTGCTGAGAAAGTGACCAGGTGAGGCGAATGTGAACGCAGCATGGAACTGTCAGCAGCGATTGTGCTGGCTGCGCGATCCGCAGTCCTGAATCACCTGCAGTGGAGCCCCGCCACCCTTACAGCAGCACCCTCTTCTGGTTCTAGCCGTCCAATAATCCTTCCCACTCAGGACTGGTTTTGTACTCTTCCTTCCCAGGTAATTCTAGGAACCAGACCACCTAGCACTGGGTTGTGCTTTCAAGGAGCTGGAGGTTCTCTGTGGATTTGGGGTGATAGGTGTCTTGGGATAAGTAAACTTGGAGATTGGCCCCAACCCACCAGAATCCAGGTCAAGAGACCATGGAAGGGGGTTCCATGGAGGAAAAGGCGGTCTCAGGGGCATTTCCATCATGCTGCCCCATCACTTCAGCCCCTTCTCCCCACCACAGTCCAAAAATGCCACCACGGGCCAGCTGAAATCTCTGACCACAGTAGAGGCTCTCTGGTGGTCAAAGGCCCTCTGCCCTTTGTTTCCTGAGAGGTTTGGGATGGGGTTGGAATTCAGACATTTAATTTTTTAATTGATTTTAGAGAAAGGGAGAAAAACGATTTGTTGTTCCACTTATTCATGCATTCATTGGTTGATTCTTATATGTACCCTGACTGGGGATCAAACCCGAAACCTGGGAGTATCAGAGGGTGCTCTAACCAACTGAGCTACCAGGCCAGGACTGGAATTCAAACATTTTTACAACTCCTCATCTTCCATGGACCAACTATCTTGGGGAAAGATGGCACTGGTCAGTGCACACTCTACAGGACAAACCAGCAGTTGACACCAATGGGGGCCTTAGAAGACCTCATGATATCACTCTCATGGAAAGTAAGATACCTAAAGCGAAGAGCTGAGGGGAAGGGAGAAGAAGAGGGCAAGTGTAGCCTCCATTAAAGATGGTGTTTGGGGAGGAGCACAGTCAAGAAAAGCTGTAACAAGAGTACTGAGCAAGGGAACCTGATTTTTTTTTTCTGACTAGTCCAAGGGCCAGGACAGCCTGAGCAGGGAGAGTAGAGCTTTTCCATGTCCCAGGCCTGGAAAAGGGCTGGAGTACTGGAGGAGCCAAAGGTGCAGGATGCATGGGAGCTGGCTGGTACCTTAAACACCTTTTAAGGATGATACTGGGAGTGGGATACAGGACCAACCAGCATCCTGAGGGTGGGTATCCAGCCAACAGGCAGGTGTGCCCAGGCCCACTTCCAAGTGCCCCTCCCCCCTCAGCAAAGCCCCATCAATACGCAGGAGAGGTGCTGGCAGCGCAGGTTGTGCACAGGGAGAGGCAGGTGTGTGGGTAAGTCGCCACCAAAACAGTATGTTCAAGGCCACAGTCCCTAGGGTGGCCTTCATCTATGTACCAGATGCCAATGTGCAAAGTGGCAGGGACAAAAAAGCCATCTGCAGGCCCCTCCCTTTCCCAGCCTGGGTGCTGCCTTGAAGAGGAGGGCACCCATGGGCCTACCTGCTGTGCCCCTGGCCTGGAGCCTTTCCCACAGGTTTGACTTGAAACTACCCATAGGAGAGTCTCGTCGTACCTACTCCTTTCCACTCCCCATCACCCAAGCCACCTTGCAACACCCCCGTCCTGGGAGATCACAGCTGCTGTCAGAGAGCAGCTCTAGATCACCTTAAATGGTGGGTAAAGATAAAGCAGGAAGCAGCAGGGATCTCAGTGCCTGGGTTCTGGGCAAGTAGTGGTGGTAGATGGGTTGATTATCAATGCCAGGTGATTTAGCCTGCTGGGTACAGAAAGAGCCTGGAGTCAAATTGGCCTAATCAGTTGTCCTAGCAACACTGCCCTTGTCCTTACCCAGACAAGATTTATTCTAGCCTGTTGCCCTGGTAACTTGAGTTGCTCCCCTGGGACAGGAAATGGCAGAACCTCAGCTCTGCTGGGTGAGAACACTTCTCCCAACCACAGGGGTCCACCTGTGCATCCCCCTCTGCCAGGTGCAGGACAGCCATGGGATCGTGGGATGGGATTTCCACATTCTGAGTCCCTCCAGCCCCAGTGTGTGTGCACTGGGGTTCAGATTTGCAACTACCAGGCAGGGCCATGCAGGATTGCCCCAGGGGTTAGGGCAGGACAAACACAGCTCAGTCATTTAGACATTTTCTATCAGGTGAGGGATTTTTCCATTCTTTGCCACTCACCTGGGGAGAGGAAGTCAAGCTGCCAAGAGAGGCAACTGCAGTCCTAGTCTTGGCTTGTGCCTGGGGAACTCTTGACTTTTCTGCCCTGGGGTCTGAGGCTGACCCAGTATAAGTTCTGACTGGTCAACCAGCTCTGGCCAGTGAGCTGGCTGGAGTCCTTACTGGACAGAGTGACTAGGAGGCAGGGAGAAGGTACTGCAGGGAAGTCCTGGGCCCAGGCACCATGCAGTAAGGAGATCCCTGGGGAACAGCAGGCGTGTGACTGCAACATGCAGTAAGAATCACTGCAGCTCTTGGTTCTTTAAATCTCACCTCCAAACCTCAGTATTTTTGCTTAGGAAAGGAGGGGAGCTGGGGGAAAATAAGAAAGGCTCCTTTCCCTATTACACGGCAACAGACACCAGCTTTCCCGCCGCCATTCCCTGGCTCTAAGCAAAGGGAATGCTAAAGAGACAAGAGGAAGGGCAGAGAGATACCAAGGGTGACAGAAAAATACTAAAAGGAAACAGACAGAACATGATAAATCCAGGGGGAAAGTATGGTGGTCCACCCTGGGAGATCCCACCAGGAGATGGAAGGAGGGGAGGCTGGGAGAATGAAAACAGACACAAGACAGGATTGTGGGAAGGTTGGGAAGCCATCCTGGCTGGGCAAATGGCAGCAGCTGGAGGTATTTTCAGAAAAATCTTCCAAGTAAATAAAGTGATAACCCAATCCCTGTTTCTTCTTGCTGTTACACTGTTAAAGGTAACTGGGTAGAAAAACCCAGAGAAATCCCAAGAACGAACAGCTAAAGGGCCAAGAGTTTCTGGGCAACCTGGAAAAGGGAGGAACCTCTTCTGACAGCAAGGATGCGTGCTGTGCCTCCCTCCGTCAGGGGAGGTGTTTAACCCAAGCGGTCTGTCTTGTCAACACACACACAGACACCAAGGCTGTTGCCACACCCCCTCAGGGGAAACAGTCTGGGGAGGGGCTGAGAACGCACCTGGGAGTGGTTGACAGCCACCAGCCCTTCTCCTGCCTTGCCCCCTCCCATGGCTAACACGGGACTCCAGTTCAGACAGGAGCTGGCTCTGTGGGCAAGGAGTCCTGTCCTGGGCCAACTATCCTTGGCCCACAGCAGGCAGCATCGCAGGCGACATTAACACCAACCCAGGCAGTCATGTTGAGTGATGTGAGGGCACTCAAGCTGGCCCCAAACAAGACCGAGTGCCATTTTCTTTTTCTTTCAAATGCAGTTCTTTTCCAACATTGCCTATTAACAGCTTTGGTGCAGAGATTTGGGGGCCAGGGAGGTACATGGGAAAAAGAAAGGAAAAAGTAGCCAATTACACAAAGCCTTTCCCTGGAAAAGCCCAGGCTCTGGGGTGCTCAGAACATGTGGCTGCCCTCCCCCTACACGCTGGAGCTCTGGCTTTGCTGGTTGAGGCACAGATGGGGATACATCCCATTCCCCATGTACAAGAGCTTTCTGGGAGAGGGAGAATGGCTGCTTGTATCTCTATCTCTCTTTCTCTCTGTGTATATATATAATAGGCTATATTAGAAAATTCTCTCTATATAAATATAAAACATTGGTATCCAAACACCACAACTAACTAAAGTGCTTGACAGGAGTTGGACATTGTCTAAGTATGTAGGTAAAACTAGTCATTCTGAGTGTCCAGGATGAGGGAGAGAGCTGGGGAAGCAAAAACCATGGAGAAAAGGGTGTGCTGGCCCAAGCCAGGGCACAAGGGCACTCTGGTCCCCCCGCGCCTTCTCAGCCCGTCTGGTCACTATCCCCCGTCAACACTGCACCTCAGCCCACCTTTACTGCACTCTTCCCACTGTGCTTCTGTCCATGAGAACAGTGCTGGAAAGCTGGAAGGGTTCCCCCAGGGCAACCTGGTCAGCCTTTGCCCACAGCTTCCTCTGCCCACGGGGTTGGGGACAAAGGGAGCACTGTGTATGCTGAGGGCAGGAGAGGAGGGGGGTTACTTGTCATTGTAATTAATAATTTGAGAAATAAAACACTATTGCTCCTCTAAGCCAGGCCCTGCCTTCTCTCCTGGGCCTCCTACCTGGGCGGGGGCTGGAAGGAAGAAGGGAGGAAGCTGCCCTTTTATATGCAAGCTCCAAGCAAAGCATTAGCACCTCCATCTCCAAGACCCCTACCCTGCACAACAAGGCCCACTCTGGTCCCAGACCCACAGAAATGCCACAGGCAAGTGGTCACCAGAGCTGCAGGGAGTAGAAGGGCCCCAGAGAGCAGGGAAGAGGCCCCTCCACTCCCAGGACACAGTGCTACAAGAAAGGGTTGGTGGTGGGAGGTTTGGAGGCAAATGGGCTTGATGAAGATCCAGTCTGGAAAGAAATAACAACAACAACAAATTGTTAGATTAAAGAAGAAAAGCTGGAGGCCACAGAAGAAATGCAGTGCAGGCTTCCTTTCTCCCTTAACGTGACTGCGCTGAGGAGAGTGGGAACTCGAAGGAGCTAAGAGCCAAGTGGAGGGGGTAGGTGTTGGGGGAGATGACAGGGCAGAGAAGAACTGAGGCCCATCAACTACCCCCCTCATCCCTGGCTTGGACAAGGCAGAACTTCATGAGGAAGGGGTCTAAGTTCCACCCCACATCACCCTCTTCTAGAAGGATTCTGTCCCCAAGACCCGGAGTGAGCGGCCATGCCCCACACCATGGACTGGGCACTCACCATGAAGGGATTGGTGGAGATGCCCCCTGGCTGGCTGAGTGGCCTCTGCTCCAGCTTGGCTGGTCCCAAGTCACTGAAGGAAGATCCTGGGAAGCAAGAGCAAGAACTCAGCCGACATGAGCCCTGGCCCTCATGCCGGTGCTGACCTGCTCGGTCTCCCTCCCTGCAGGGCAGGCACAGCTCTCTCCCAGGTGCGCAGTGAGAGGGGGCCTTGCTAAAGACAGGAATAAACGTATGGAGCAGTCAGAGTACACAGTCAGGTCTGGTGCTGCCCTGATTCCTCCCCTATGGTCCCAAATGGAATTAGCTTGCACGTCTGGCTCCCTAATATACCTGCGGGCGCGTGTAACACATGTGCATACACATTTGCACGCGTGCGTACACACACACACAGTCGCTGGGGGTGGGCAATGGGGGGTGAGGAAGGAGGGTGAGGTCTGAATCCTTTACCATTCTGGTGCTGAGGCATCGAGGTCTGCAGGGGGAACATCGGTGGTGGGAAGGTGGTGGCAAAGGCCCCGGTGGGTGGCACTGTCTGGGAGAAGCCAGGTCCAGCACTGCTCATCCCAAAGCCAGGTCCTGTGGAGTGAGGGACATGAGGCTCAGGTGAAGGTCTGGAACACAGGCCGGAGAACAGTTCTTCCTGAATCCTTCCAAAATGGGAAAACAGAATGGAGCTTTTCCCTAACCAGAGGGACCCAGCACAAGTACCCTGAATGAGCCAGAGAACTCTTCAGCTTCCATGCAAGATATCAAACCTGCCTCTTCCTGCCCACATGGCTTGTGGCATGGAGAACATGAACACGACACAGAACTGGGGGCAGCTGTAGGCTACCTATTAAACTGCATAAATAAAAAGCTAATTATCGGCCCTTTCTGTGCCTCAGTTATCTCATTTCTAAAATGGAGCAGTACCTATCTCCTGGGGCCACTGTGAAATGAAGTAACAGATGTAAGCACTTAGCACTGGGCCAGCCTGCCACAGCACTGGAAGCTGCTATTCTTCTCTCTTCATGCCTCAAGATTTTTGAGAACAAACAAAGGGATGGTAGTGCATGAAGAAAGAAAACAGAGGCTGAGGAGGGGCAGGGTGAGAGGAGACCATACCACCCTGGCTGCTGAGGGCAGGGAACAGGGTCCTGATTTCAGGTGGCTCGCCTTCAGACACAGAGGGCTGGAGAAAGAGGAATCACTGCCATTGTCAGCCAACACTGAAACAGCCTTAGAACTGACGCAGGTAAACAGCAGTCTAGTCTCTAATTCTGAAATTCTGATCTGTAGCCTGGGTGCCTCTACTTTTTGCCCACTAAGATGGGTCTGGCCTGGACTGGGGCAGGGTGCTCAGGGGGACTAGTTTGGGAAACCACAACTGCCAGCTGAGGCTGCCTGCTGCTCCTCCTGACAGTGTGCAAGGAGGGGGGAGGGGAGAGAAATTGGTGCTGTGAGATACAGGGACAGGGAACAGTCTGGAAGGCTTACCTGTGGCCAAGCCATTGGGCTGGAATGGGTTTGTGGAAGGCAGCTGAGGGTGAGCAGCAGGTGCTGTGAAAGGGTTGGTGAAGGCTGCTCAGGGTGGAATGGGGTAGAGATGAGAAAAAAAGATCATTATTTTTTTCCCCCATTTGCTTAATATTGTGATAACTGAGCATTCCTCTAACTCTTCTCTCCATTCCACACACCCCTGTCCAGAGTTCTCAATTCCCTCTAGGACTTGGATCCCCTCCCTGGGTCTTCACAGGCAAGACTCACCTCCAAAGGCAAGCCCTGTGCTGCCACCTCCGCCAGTTGTGGCCGACTGGAGTGTGGGGACCTGGCTGGTCATCCCAAAGATGCTGCAATGCGGGGAGAGAGGTCAGCATACATAGCTTCCAGGACCAAGGCGATAGGTTGGGCAAGGGACTAGGACAGTGGTTCTCAACCTTCTGGCCCTTTAAGTACAGTTCCTCATGTTGTAACCCAACCATAAAATTATTTTCATTGCTACTTCTTAACTGTAATGTTGCTACTGTTATGAATCGTAATGTACATATCTGATATGCAGGATGGTCTTAGGTGACCCCTGTGAAAGGTCGTTCGGCCGCCAAAGGGGTCGTGACCCACAGGTTGAGAACCGCTGGACTAGGAGATGGCACACCCAGTACTGCCAGAGAGGAGGAGCTGAGTGGGCTGGGAAAAGCAAGGCCAGGGTTACTTGGCCCACTCTCCTGCCCTAAGGCAAACCCATGTCTGTGCCTACCTGCTAGGGATACCTCCAGCTGATGCCCGAGGTCCCAGGAGGCCGCCCATATCTGTGAGGCTGTTGGGCTGACTGGCAGGTGCAAGAGAGGCGGCACCAAATGGAGTCACCTGGCTGCTCCCTGGTAAGTCATAGGAAATAAAACAGGGAGTGTTGGGCTGGAGACAAGATGGAAAGGGCAGGAGAAGATGGGATTCAGTGGAGGAGTGGAGTGATCACACGAGAGGCACCACCTGGGTTCTCTGAGCCATCCCAGTCCTCCCACGATCACCCAGTTCAGGAGGACTTGTCTCCCACTGAGAATTCCAGGCCATGTGATACCGGGCTCTCAATCTTCCTAGTGCTCAGAGCCGCCACCGCTGAGAGAAAAGCAGCTTTCTCCTAGCGCGGGAGGGATGGTGACTTGACTTACACTTTCCATTTTTCCCCTCAAGAGACTGTAATTTACTCAAACCAGCATTTCCACTTATGGATAAATCTTATGAAGGGCAGGTAGAGAGGGTGGGGGAAGAGCTATGAAAGGTCCAAGGACACTTGGGAGAATCTCATGAGATGGCACTGGAGGTGATGAGCATAAATCTTCAGCCATCAGCACTCCCATTGGAGCCACTTCTTTTTTTGGGAAGCCACCCTGATGCTATGAGCTGAGATTAGGGCTTAGAGACACTGCTCACTTGGGCAGAGCCAACTGCAGGGTTCTCCTGCCCTCCCTGGGGTTCACATCTAAAAAGAAAAGGCAGAGGACAAGCTCCACATGGGAGTTTTACAAAACAGCCTGCAGAGCAAGAGTCCTGGAAATCCCACAGGAAGAGACCTAAGGCCCTGTCATTTTCTGAAAGCCTCTTTATCTATGTGTCTACATATCATCTGTCAACCATTCTGGGCTGTTGTGAGTGTATAACAAGGCTACAAATGAAAAAAGTTTTATTTTTATGAGTGCTGGAAGACTCATTCCTGAAGGGATAGTATCTGCAAAGTGTCTTTATTGGTTAGAGCATGGTCCCCAAACACCAAGGGCTCGATTCCCTAAGGCAAACCCATGTTGGGGCACATACAGGAATCAATCAATGAATGTGCAGATGGG